GCAGACTCATTACACACGGACTCAAAGCAGACTCATTACACACGGACTCAAAAGCAGACTCATTACACACGGACTCAAAAGCAGACTCATTACACACGGACTCAAAAGCAGACTCATACACACGGACTCAAAAGCAGACTCATTCCACACGGACTCAAAAGCAGACTCATTACACACGGACTCAAAAGCAGACTCATTACACACGGACTCAAAAGCAGACTCATTACACACGGACTCAAAAGCAGACTCATTACACACGGACTCAAAAGCAGACTCATTCCACACGGACTCAAAAGCAGACTCATTACACACGGACTCAAAAGCAGACTCATTACACACGGACTCAAAAGCAGACTCATTACACACGGACTCAAAAGCAGACTCATTACACACGGACTCAAAAGCAGACTCATTACACACGGACTCAAAAGCAGACTCATTCCACACGGACTCAAAAGCAGACTCATTACACACGGACTCAAAAGCAGACTCATTACACACGGACTCAAAAGCAGACTCATTACACACGGACTCAAAAGCAGACTCATTACACACGGACTCAAAAGCAGACTCATTACACACGGACTCAAAAGCAGACTCATTACACACGGACTCAAAAGCAGACTCATTACACACGGACTCAAAAGCAGACTCATTACACACGGACTCAAAAGCAGACTCATTACACACGGACTCAAAAGCAGACTCATTACACACGGACTCAAAAGCAGACTCATTACACACGGACTCAAAAGCAGACTCATTACACACGGACTCAAAAGCAGACTCATACACACGGACTCAAAAGCAGACTCATTACACACGGACTCAAAAGCAGACTCATTACACACGGACTCAAAAGCAGACTCATTACACACGGACTCAAAAGCAGACTCATTACACACGGACTCAAAAGCAGACTCATTACACACGGACTCAAAAGCAGACTCATTACACACGGACTCAAAAGCAGACTCATTACACACGGACTCAAAAGCAGACTCATTACACACGGACTCAAAAGCAGACTCATTACACACGGACTCAAAAGCAGACTCATTACACACGGACTCAAAAGCAGACTCATTACACACGGACTCAAAAGCAGACTCATTACACACGGACTCAAAAGCAGACTCATTACACACGGACTCAAAAGCAGACTCATTACACACGGACTCAAAAGCAGACTCATTACACACGGACTCAAAAGCAGACTCATTACACACGGACTCAAAAGCAGACTCATTACACACGGACTCAAAAGCAGACTCATTACACACGGACTCAAAAGCAGACTCATTACACACGGACTCAAAAGCAGACTCATTACACACGGACTCAAAAGCAGACTCATTACACACGGACTCAAAAGCAGACTCATTACACACGGACTCAAAAGCAGACTCATTACACACGGACTCAAAAGCAGACTCATTACACACGGACTCAAAAGCAGACTCATTACACACGGACTCAAAAGCAGACTCATTACACACGGACTCAAAAGCAGACTCATTACACACGGACTCAAAAGCAGACTCATTACACACGGACTCAAAAGCAGACTCATTACACACGGACTCAAAAGCAGACTCATTACACACGGACTCAAAAGCAGACTCATTACACACGGACTCAAAAGCAGACTCATTACACACGGACTCAAAAGCAGACTCATTACACACGGACTCAAAAGCAGACTCATTACACACGGACTCAAAAGCAGACTCATTACACACGGACTCAAAAGCAGACTCATTACACACGGACTCAAAAGCAGACTCATTACACACGGACTCAAAAGCAGACTCATTACACACGGACTCAAAAGCAGACTCATTACACACGGACTCAAAAGCAGACTCATTACACACGGACTCAAAAGCAGACTCATTACACACGGACTCAAAAGCAGACTCATACACACGGACTCAAAAGCAGACTCATTACACACGGACTCAAAAGCAGACTCATTACACACGGACTCAAAAGCAGACTCATTACACACGGACTCAAAAGCAGACTCATTACACACGGACTCAAAAGCAGACTCATTACACACGGACTCAAAAGCAGACTCATTACACACGGACTCAAAAGCAGACTCATTACACACGGACTCAAAAGCAGACTCATTACACACGGACTCAAAAGCAGACTCATTACACACGGACTCAAAAGCAGACTCATTACACACGGACTCAAAAGCAGACTCATTACACACGGACTCAAAAGCAGACTCATTACACACGGACTCAAAAGCAGACTCATTACACACGGACTCAAAAGCAGACTCATTACACACGGACTCAAAAGCAGACTCATTACACACGGACTCAAAAGCAGACTCATTACACACGGACTCAAAAGCAGACTCATTACACACGGACTCAAAAGCAGACTCATTACACACGGACTCAAAAGCAGACTCATTACACACGGACTCAAAAGCAGACTCATTACACACGGACTCAAAAGCAGACTCATTACACACGGACTCAAAAGCAGACTCATTACACACGGACTCAAAAGCAGACTCATTACACACGGACTCAAAAGCAGACTCATTACACACGGACTCAAAAGCAGACTCATTACACACGGACTCAAAAGCAGACTCATTACACACGGACTCAAAAGCAGACTCATTACACACGGACTCAAAAGCAGACTCATTACACACGGACTCAAAAGCAGACTCATTACACACGGACTCAAAAGCAGACTCATTACACACGGACTCAAAAGCAGACTCAACACACGGACTCAAAAGCAGACTCATTACACACGGACTCAAAAGCAGACTCATTACACACGGACTCAAAAGCAGACTCATTACACACGGACTCAAAAGCAGACTCATTACACACGGACTCAAAAGCAGACTCATACACACGGACTCAAAAGCAGACTCATTACACACGGACTCAAAAGCAGACTCATTACACACGGACTCAAAAGCAGACTCATTACACACGGACTCAAAAGCAGACTCATTACACACGGACTCAAAAGCAGACTCATTACACACGGACTCAAAAGCAGACTCATTACACACGGACTCAAAAGCAGACTCATTACACACGGACTCAAAAGCAGACTCATTACACACGGACTCAAAAGCAGACTCATTACACACGGACTCAAAAGCAGACTCATTACACACGGACTCAAAAGCAGACTCATTACACACGGACTCAAAAGCAGACTCATTACACACGGACTCAAAAGCAGACTCATTACACACGGACTCAAAAGCAGACTCATTACACACGGACTCAAAAGCAGACTCATTACACACGGACTCAAAAGCAGACTCATTACACACGGACTCAAAAGCAGACTCATTACACACGGACTCAAAAGCAGACTCATTACACACGGACTCAAAAGCAGACTCATTACACACGGACTCAAAAGCAGACTCAACACACGGACTCAAAAGCAGACTCATTACACACGGACTCAAAAGCAGACTCATTACACACGGACTCAAAAGCAGACTCATTACACACGGACTCAAAAGCAGACTCATTACACACGGACTCAAAAGCAGACTCATTACACACGGACTCAAAAGCAGACTCATTACACACGGACTCAAAAGCAGACTCATAACACACGGACTCAAAAGCAGACTCATTACACACGGACTCAAAAGCAGACTCATTACACACGGACTCAAAAGCAGACTCATTACACACGGACTCAAAAGCAGACTCATTACACACGGACTCAAAAGCAGACTCATTACACACGGACTCAAAGCAGACTCATTCCACACGGACTCAAAAGCAACTCATTACACACGGACTCAAAAGCAGACTCATTACACACGGACTCAAAAGCAGACTCATTACACACGGACTCAAAAGCAGACTCATTACACACGGACTCAAAAGCAGACTCATTACACACGGACTCAAAAGCAGACTCATTACACACGACTCAAAAGCAGACTCATTACACACGGACTCAAAAGCAGACTCATTACACACGGACTCAAAAGCAGACTCATTACACACGGACTCAAAAGCAGACTCATTACACACGGACTCAAAAGCAGACTCATTACACACGGACTCAAAAGCAGACTCATTACACACGGACTCAAAAGCAGACTCATTACACACGGACTCAAAAGCAGACTCATTACACACGGACTCAAAAGCAGACTCATTACACACGGACTCAAAAGCAGACTCATTACACACGGACTCAAAAGCAGACTCATTACACACGGACTCAAAAGCAGACTCATTACACACGGATCAAAAGCAGACTCATTACACACGGACTCAAAAGCAGACTCATTACACACGGACTCAAAAGCAGACTCATTCACACGATCAAAAGCAGACTCATTACACACGACTCAAAAGCAGACTCATTACACCACGGACTCAAAAAGCAGACTCATTACACACGGGACTCAAAAGCAGACTCATTACACACGGACTTCAAAAGCAGACTCATTACACACGGACTCAAAAGCAGACTCATTACACACGGACTCAAAAGCAGACTCATTACACACGGACTCAAAAGCGAACTCTTACACACGGACTCAAAAGCAGACTCATAAACACACGGACTCAAAAGCAGACTCATTACACACGGAATCAAAAGCAGTACCGTTGATGGCGGTAGGGCTCTGAACACGAAATGAAAAGGCAGCTGTTCGTGTGCCGCGCCCCACCGTTTTTGCAGCGGAGGCTCAGGTTCGGCAGCAGCTGTTGGAGGCCTTGCTGGAAAAAACAAAACACATCGTTTCTTACATTTCTGTGGTGCCATCACTAGCTGTTTCTTTCATATTTGTGTGCCGCGCCCTACCGCATTTGCAGCTGAGGATGTGTTTTGTTTTGAGATTTCTAAAAAAACAAAAACACATCGTTTCTTACCTTTTTGTGGTGCCATCATCAGCTGCTATCTTCATGTTCGTATGCTGTGCCCTGCCCTACCAAAACACATCGTTTCTTACCTTACCGTATCTGCAGTGGGGGCTCAGGTTCGGCAGCAGCTGTTGGAGGCCTTGTCAGTGCTGGTCCATGAAAGGCTCGTTGAGAGGGTCGGGAGTCCCGAACCTATGCTGCAGCCTCGGGGAGCAGGCACCGATGCTCCCAAGACCGCTTCTCGTGCTCGAGTGGTGAGTTTTTTTTCTCACCCTCTCTTTTATATTTTCCATGACTATTTCCCTCATTTTTTATTATTTTCAAGGCGTGTTTTGCAGCCTGGGGCAGCGGGGCCTACGTTGGGAGTTGCGATGTTCCCAAAACCAGTTTTGACACTCGCATTCGGAATCCATTCTCTCTCACTCTTTAAGGGTCAACCCGGTGGCCACATCGTGTGGTGCTTTGTCTCTCGCTCGCTCTTCAACTCGTTGTTTTCCTTGTGCTCTATTTTCTCTCTTCACCCTCTTTCTCATTCTCCTCCCTTATGTACACGAGCCATGGTTGAGACTGCTCTCACTCACTATATGTGAGATGGAGATGGCGTTTAAAGAAAGCAAGCTATTATGTCATTCCGTGTTTGAAAACAGCAAGGTATTACTGTCATGCAGGAGATGGTGTTTAAAAACGCCAAGGTAACATCGTCTTCGGGAGATGGTGTCTGAAGCTACACTTTGGAGATGGTGTCTGAAAACACTTAAGTAGCAGCAACACTTAGGAGATGGTGTCTGAAAACACTAAAGTAGCAGCAACACTTAAGAGATGGTGTATGGAAACACGAAGTTAGCACCGCCACTGACTGAGACCATGGTTTTGAAAATTCTAGGGTAACACCATTCATTCACGAGATGATGCTCAAACACATGATCTCTTGAGTGGCAGTGTTGCCTTAGAATTTAGAAAGACTGTTTCCTCCTGAGTGGCAGTCTTTCCTTCATGCCTTCAAACAAACACCATCACCTGAGTTCCATCCATTTTACCTTGGTGTTTTCAAACACCATCTCCTGGGTAATAGCATCACTTCAATTCACGTAAATATCGTACCGTGCCATGTCGTGATTGGCGTATTACCCTTGGTGTCTTCAAATCAAATATCACCTTCTGAGTAACAGATTGGCTTGAAGTCCTTCACAGACAACTCATCATTAGGCACGCGTGGGCCAGTAGTTTCAACTCGGACCAGAATTGAGTAGTGAGGGCAAGCCAGTGGCAAGCGCATGGCCGATCCGATCTACCTTTCCATTCCTCTCAATCATCCATCCATTCCATCTTCCCCATCTCCCGCTCGAGGAGTCTATTTTTGAGGCGCCTCAAAATTCGTTCCCTCTTCCCCATCTCCCGCTCTCACCGCACACGATCATGGAGGCGTCTGGCTACTTTGACTCGGAGCAAAGCGCCTGATGGTGGTGGCAGCCAGGTGCAGCGGCGCTCTCCTCGTCTCCCCTCTCTCATCCGCCTTTCTCTCTTCCCCTTTTTCCCTCAGCGCACAAGAGCCATGATGGAGGCGTCTGGCTACTTTGACTCGGAGGAGCACCGCGTGGTCGTTGCAGCGCGCTGCAGCGACGCTCTCCGCTTCCAGTTACCAGCCGCCTGGGTGTTATCTGGCGGTGGGGATAATGCTGCTGGCGGCGCTGGTGGTGGTGGTGCTGGCGGGATGGCTGTTGATGGGAGCGCAGGAGCGGATGGGGGTATGACAGCAGCTGCTGCAGCTGCAGCGGCAAAGTTCAAGGTAAGCAGTTGGATGCAGGCTGGTGCAGTGACGCACTCCACTTTCAGTTACCAGCTGCATGGTTACCAGCTGCCACCACATGATAGTGGTGGTGGCAGTGCTGGCGGTGGCAGTGGTGTGGACCGGAGCGCAGGAACGGATGGGGGGTTATGTGACAGCAGCAGCAGCAGCAGCCAAGTTCAAGGTAAGCAGTCGTAAAGCACCAGGGGGAGGAGCTGGAGGAGGAGCAGGAGGAGCAGGAGGAGCAGGAGGAGCAGGAGGAGCAGGAGGAGCAGGAGGAGCAGGAGGAGCTGGAGGAGCAGGAGGAGCAGGAGGAGCAGGAGGAGCAGGAGGAGCTGGAGGAGCTGGAGGAGCAGGAGGAGCAGGAGGAGCAGGAGGAGCAGGAGGAGCAGGAGGAGCAGGAGGAGCAGGAGGAGCAGGAGGAGCAGGAGGAGCAGGAGGAGCAGGAGGAGCAGGAGGAGCAGGAGGAGCTGGAGGAGCAGGAGGAGCAGGAGGAGCTGGAGGAGCAGGAGGAGCAGGAGGAGCAGGAGGAGCTGGAGGAGCTGGAGGAGCAGGAGGAGCAGGAGGAGCAGGAGGAGCAGGAGGAGCAGGAGGAGCAGGAGGAGCAGGAGGAGCAGGAGGAGCAGGAGGAGCAGGAGGAGCAGGAGGAGCAGGAGGAGCAGGAGGAGCAGGAGGAGCAGGAGGAGCAGGAGGAGCAGGAGGAGCAGGAGGAGCAGGAGGAGCAGTAGGAGCAGGGGGAGCAGGAGGAGTAGGAGGAGCAGGAGGAGCAGGAGGAGCAGGAGGAGCAGGAGGAGCAGGAGAAGGAGCAAGGGGGAGGGGGAGGACCCCACGACTTGCATCCCCAGAAGTTATCATGTTTTACCCCCTTCTGTTTACCCCCTTCTGTTTACCCCCTTCTGTTTACCCCCTTCTGTTTACCCCCTTCTGTTTACCCCCTTCTGTTTACCCCCTTCTGTTTACCCCCTTCTGTTTACCCCCTTCTGTTTACCCCCTTCTGTTTACCCCCTTCTGTTTACCCCCTTCTGTTTACCCCCTTCTGTTTACCCCCTTCTGTTTACCCCCTTCTGTTTACCCCCTTCTGTTTACCCCCTTCTGTTTACCCCCTTCTGTTTACCCCCTTCTGTTTACCCCCTGCTTTATCAGTCAACCTTCTGCTCTCCCTCCTCTGTCGACCCTTCTGCCCCATTACTCACAGCGGAAGCCCCATTACCCGGGTGTTGGACGACAAGGAGGAGGGGAGCTCGAGGAAGGAAACGAGCAAGGGGTGCCAAGGAGTACAAAGCGGTCAGCACTGGTTCCACTTCACAGTGTTTAACCTTGTTCACAATGCTTGCAATGTCTTCGCCCCTGTGTTTCCCCCACAGAGGAAACGAGTTGTCCTGGATGACGAAGAGGAGGAGGGCGGAGGGGCACCCAGTGCAAAGCGCGCAGCAACGGGAGCTGCAGGGGGGGCGGGTGGAGCGGAGAAGCAGGCCGGGGGGAACACTGAAGACTCTGGCGTGCTGTGGCGGGTGAATTACGAGGAGTTCCTGAGGCGAACGAGACACCAGGTGGGATTCAAAACCATGCGTGAGGAGTCTATTCCAATCAAAACTAGTTCCTGAGGCGAACGAGACACCAGGTGGGATTCAAACCAGGGTGGGTTGATCGCATGCTGTGCGAGTGATGTGACAGCCAGAGAAAAGCATGCAGCGGTGGAGGATTCTGGCGTGCTGTGCTGTGCTGTGGCGGGTGAAGTATGAGAAATTCCAAAGGCGAACGAGACATGTCTCCTTGGGTGAAGTACAGTCGAGGGCACAAGGTTTGCTGCGGTTCGAATCCGTCAAATTCTCGGCAAACTGGGTGGATTGGCAGCAGCATGCTGCACGAGGGTGAGGGGGCCTGCCACTCATTGCACACCCATTTGAACAGCGTTTTCTCCCTTCCCAGCTCCTCCACACCCCTCTCAACCACACTCCTTTCCTTCCCACCCGTCCAGGCCATAGTTGACTTTGTGCGTGAAATCATTGACCCACGCTTTTCATTTCTGTATTTCCTCCTTCCTCACAGTTTCGCGTTCATCCTCTGAACATCCTTCCATCCATCCTTCCATCCATCCATCCATCCATCCATCCATCCATCCATCCATCCATCCATCCATCCATCCATCCATCCATCCATCCACCTCCATCCACCATCCATCCATCCCCATCCATCCATCCATCCATCCATCCATCCATCCATCCATCCATCCATCCATCCATCCATCCATCCATCCATCCATCCATCCATCCATCCATCCATCCATCCATCCCAATAATTCCGCACTCTCTCTTGTCCTCTCTCCCCTTCTTCCTTAACGGCCAGACCATAGTGGACTTTGTGCGCGAAAGCATCGACCCAGGTGCCTCCATCATCACCGCTGCCATGCTCCATGCCGGAAAGAACCAAGAAACTTCCCTCCGACACCCATACTCAGGTGCGCATCTCATTCGCTTTCTCGTTCGTTGCTACGGATCATAAGCCCTCTTTTTCTCATTCTCTTCACACGTTCCAATTGTCGACTTAATGCTTGCTCCCAAGGCCCTCAATTTCAAGCATGAGGAGCCTCAAAAACAGACTCCTCACCGAAGGTCCTCAATCTCAAGCTCCTCATGTGAATACCAACTAAAGTCTCTGTTCCTCAAATCCAAAAAAACTATACTTTCCTCTTCCCCGCTCCCCTTACGCCCAGAGTGTCATCTCCTCTTCTCCGTTCTCTGCTCCGCTCCCTCCCCTCCCAGCAACCCCTTTCCTCGACCCATAGCCTACACCACAGTCAGTGCCAGTGCCACCATAGACAGCTGAACTATGAGTCTATGACCCTCAATCGAATCGAATCGAATCGAATCGAATCGAATCGGATCCCTCTCTGTCCCTTCCTCCGCTACTCGTTTTCCTCCTCTGCTACCCCTCTCCCTCCCTCGCCTCCCAGCATCCCGCTCCCTCGATTCGTTAGCCTACACAGTCAGTACCAGTGCCACCATAGACAGCTGAACTGTGACCCTCCATCGAATCCGAACCCTCCCTCTTCCTCTGTTACTCCTTCTACTCTTCTGCCCACCGCTCCCTTCCTTCCCTCCCCTCCTAATGACTCTCCCTCGACTGGATAGCCTACGCAGTGAGTGCCAGTGCCACCATAGATGACTGAACTATGACCCTCCATCGGTTGAACTATTTTTCTGTGTCCCTCTGTCTTCCTCTATTACCCCCATCCCCTCCCTCCCCTCCCAGCGTCCCTCTCGCGCGACTCGATAGTCAAAGCTGTTCGTGCCACTATAGACAGTCGCACCATGGCTCTCGACTAAATCAGAACCCTCTCTGTCCCTCCCTCCGTTACGTGTTGTCCTCTGCTGCTCCCTCCCCTCCCTCACTCCCTCGCTTCCCAGCATCCCTCTCACTCGACTCCATAGTCAACGCAGTGCGCGGCACTATAGACGGTCGTACCATGGCTCTCGATCGAATCAGAGCTGCCCTTCAGCTGCTCGTGGCGCATCCCGCTGCCGTTGCTGCCCGGGCCTCTGATGCTCACTACACCATCCGTAAGTTGCATGTGACGCACTACACTACCGTATACATGCGCTACGCAGTAAGCAAGTGTGTGGTTCGCTCGCGCCACCATAGGCTGCCGCACTTTTGCTCTTGACCGAATCAGAGCGGCCCTCCAGGCTCCAACTGCTTGCGGCTCATCCCTCTGCTGTTTTTGAGGCGCCTCAAAAATCGTCTTTTGAGGCACCTCAAAAAGCTGTTGCTCGAATCAGAGCAGCCCTTCGCTTGCTGCGCACTCCTCCGATGCACACTACGCCATTTGTGAGTCAGTTACACAGTACACAGTACGCTAGCGTTGTGTTGTGCTAGCTTGGAGTTGACTCAAAAGCTCCTCACTAAACTGTTTTTGTGTGCCTGTGCCTGTGCTTGCGTTGGTCCATATGCCCATGCGTGTATGTATGCATTGCCATGTGTGTATGTGTATGTATGCGTGTGCACACATGCGCATATATGCATGTGTGTGGGAATGCATGACTTGTGAACGGTCACTTTTACTGTTTGCCTGTCAGAATCTGCCAGGATCATTGAGCTAGTGAAGCTCAGAGAGGTGCGTTGACCAGGGCTGATTTGAGTTGACTGGGGTTGAGGGGCATTGACTGGGGATGACTTGAGTTGACTGGGGTTGAGGGGCATTGACTGGGGTTGATTTGAGTTGACTGGGGTTGAGGGGAGCTGACTGGGGTTGACTTGAGTTGATTGCAAGGATAATCGAGCTATTGGAGTTCGGAGAAGTGCGTTGACTGGGGCTGACTCGAGTTGACTGATAGAATAAGCTTCATTGACTGGTGTTGACTGCTGGAATGAGGGGCGTTGAGGCGTTGGCAAATGTTATTGTGGCGATATCTTCTCATGATCTTGTAGGATGGTTTCGGACATTGATCGAGCTTGATTGTAGTTGGTCGGTCATTTTCCTTTCTCGATGTCTCGTGTGGTTGTAGTACTGTCACCAGTATCACCACTTCTGGTCTCTTTCCTTGTCCAACTCTTGGTGCATAACCCGAAACCCAAACCCCAGAACCACGAAGCAGCCCTTTTTCCCTGTTTGTCGCCATTCCCACCCGCTGCACCTCTCAGGTTGAAGCCATTGTTTCTCAGCGCTTTGGCCCGTCTGCCTGCCGGCTGTTCCGCCTGCTGCTGTCGAAGCACTGCCTGGAGCAGAAGCAGGTGAAGGAGAGCGGAGGGGGGGGGGAAAGAGGAGAGATAAGGGGGGGGAGAGAGTAATGGAGAGGGGGGCGGGGGGTGGAGAGAAGAGGAGAGATAAGGGGGGGAGAGAGTAATGGAGAGGGTAGTGCGGAATGGAGACTGTTCCGCCTGCTGCTGTCGAAGCACTGCCTGGAGCAGAAGCAGGTGAAGGAGAGGGGGGGGGGGGAGAAGCGGAGATGAGGGGGGGGGGAGTGTAATGGAGAGGGTAGTGCGGATTGGAGACTGTTTCGCCTGCTGCTATCGAAACACTGCCTGGAGCAGAAGGAGAGGGGGGGGGGGGAGATGAGATAGTAGGGAGGGGTGGGAGTGCAGGGAGGGCATTTGAGTTGGGGGGGTGGGGTGAGAGAGAGTAAAGGAGAGTGCTGAGTGTAGTGTGGAATGGAGACTGTTCCGACTTCAGAGCGGAAGGGATGGAGCACGTTTTTGCCACTTGGTTTGCAAACTTTGCAGTACAAACTTTGTACCCTCTGTTTCTCGCGAATGTTTTGCATGCCCCATTTGCCGTGACTGCTGCTGTACAAACACTGTCTGGAGCAGAAGCAGCTGGGGAGCGGAGAGAGTGGCGGAGGAGAGGGGAGGAGATGCAGTAAGCTTCTGCCTCTTGGCTTGCTTCTACAATGCTGGCACCTCTCGCATGTGTGCATGCGCCTCTGTCTCTCCCCATGCCACCAGGCGGCAGAGCTCTCCATGATATCCCTTGCGGACTTGCGGCAGCTACCAGTCCCCCCCTACCCCCCCCCAGTCCCTGCATACACGTTTCTTCCACCTCTGGCTCTCCCCATGCCACCAGGCGGCGGAGCTCTCCATGATATCCCTTGCGGACGCGCGGCAGCTGCTCTACCGGATGATGCTGGATGACTTCGTCCAGCTGCAGGTAGGACGGAGTTGCACGGGTTGTGAAGGTGAGTATGAATGATCGCATGATCGAGTGGTCCACATGATGCTGGATGCCTTTGTGCTGCTGCAGGTGCGGTATACTTCTAGAAAAGCTATAGAGTTACACCTATTGGTGAACGCACAGCACGGGTTGTGAAGGTGAATATGAATGGACGGCCTGTGCTGTGCGTTCACCTGTTTGGCAGCTGCTCTACCGGATGATGCTGGAGGTGCGGTAGAGTAGAGTAGAGGTGCACAGGTTGTAAGGGTGAACATGCAGCTGCTCCGTACCATGTGGCAAGGTGAGTACGATGGAGTTGGCCAGGTGCTCTACCTTTGAGTCGACTCAAAAGCAAAAAAGGAGAACATGCAGCTGCTCCGTACCATGCGGCGAGGCAAGGTGAGTACGACAAAGTTGGTCAGCTGCTCTGCCGCATGATGCTGGATGGCTTAGTGCAGCTGCGGTAGAGCATCCTCACTACCGCCGCATGATGCTGGATGGCTTAGTGCAGCTGCGGTAGAGCATCCTCACTACCGCCGCATGATGCTGGATGGCTTAGTGCAGCTGCGGTAGAGCATCCTCACTACCGCCGCATGATGCTGGATGGCTTAGTGCAGCTGCAGTAGAGCATCCTCACTACCGCCGCATGATGCTGGATTTGGATGACTTTGTGCAGCTGCAGGTGCGGTAGAGGTGCACATACGATGTAGGGTTGCACGGCAGATATGGCTGAGGGCACTTATTATGATGGTGCACACGTGTGGCAGCTGCTCTACTGCATGATGCTGGACGACTTTGTGCAGGTGCAGGTGTGGGAATGTAGCAGATATGCTAGGATGGTGCGTATTCGACATGGATGAATGGTACGATAAGGCGCCAGGTGCTCTACCGCATGATGCTGGATGGCTTAGTGCAGCTGCAGGTGCGGGAAAGGCATCCATGAATGGCAGTAGAATGGGAGCTAGGACATGCATGATACGAGAAGGTGCCAGATGCTCTACCGCATGATGCTTGACGATATCGTGCAGCTGGAGGCACAATGAACAGGCATGTAGCAGGTCATATGCATGCAGGAGGTCATATGCATGTAGCAGGTCATATGCATGTAGCAGGTCATATGCATGTAGCAGGTCATATGCATGTAGCAGGTCATATGCATGTAGCAGGTCACGTGCAGTTATGAACCACAGCCCCCAAAGGACCTTCTACCTCTGGCGGATCCACTTAGGCATTGCCCTTGTGCCCATAATGCCAACCCCTCTTGTTCCTTACTCCCTGCCAACCCCCCTCTTTCTTCCACAGGAAGTCCCCAAGACAGCGGACCACGCCCCCCAACGGACCTTCTACCTCTGGCGCATCCACATAGGCACAGTCCTTCCCAGAGTGCTCAACCACATGTGCCATGCTGCATGCAACCTGAGGCTGAGACTGGCACATGAAATGCAGCAGGAGCAGGAGGTGAGAGGGAGGCAGTAAGGGGTGGGAGTAAGGCCGTTCAACACGTGTGTGTGCCATGCTTCATGCAACCTGCGGCCGAGACTGGCCCATGAGATGCAGCAGGAGCAGGAGGTGAGATAGATGGGGAGGTGTCAACTAGGGCAGGAATTGCCCCCGAGTGCTCAACCACATGTGCCATGCGGCGGCATGCAACCTGCGACACAGACTAGTGCATGCATGATATGCAGCAGAAACAGGAGGTGAGAGGGACAGGCAGCAGTGGGCACATTGCCACTGTCCTTCCCCGACCCGACTGCTCAACCACATGTGCCATGCTGCATGCACCCTGAGTCTGCACTTGGCGCATGAGATGCAGCAGGAGCAGGAGGTGAGATAGGGCCAGTAAGGGGGGGAGTAGGCCCGTTGAATATGTGTGATCGCTTGTAGCCACTGTCCTTCCCTGTGTGCTCAGCCACGTGTGCCATGCTGCATGCAACCTTCGACTGAGACTAGCATAGTACATGAGATGCAGCAGGAGCAGGAGGTGAGAGAGGGGCAGTAAGGAGGGGAGTAGGCCCTCTTGAATATATGTGATCGCTCTTGTGTCAACCACACATGCCCCACGGTCCTTTCCCGGGTGCTCAACCACATGTGGCACGCGGCATGCAATGCAACTCAGACTAGCGCACGAGATGCAGCAGAAACAGGAGGTGAGAGAGGGGGGAAGTTGTTAACTGGAGCAGGTAATTTTCGCACATGCTCAGCCACATGTACCGCTTCGCTACCTGCAACCTGCGACTGACACTGGCCCATGAGATGCAGCTAGATCAGGAGATGAGGTGCAGGACAATGGAGGGTGGCAAACATGGCGTCTCACCAACATGAGCCATGCTGCACTGCACGCATGCAGTGCGGTTGCTTTTGAGTCGACTCAAAAGCACGGCACGCATGCAGTGCGGTCTGCGCATGACAAGAAGGGGGTGAGCGAGAGTGATTGACGGTCCTTCCTCTAGTGGTTTCCACGCAACCACATGAGGCATGCTGCGGCACTCGTGATTGCAGCGGGCCCATGAAATGCATCGGGAGCAGGCGGTAAGGACTGCACAAGTGATTTCGGGTTTAGACCCAAACAATGTGCCGCTAACAATGTGCTTATAACCCGTGTGACTCTACCAGGTGCTGTCTCTCCTGGAGCAGATAGAGCAGGCGCATGCAGCGGGCAGCACGGGCGCTACACCCGCCAGCGATGCCGACACTGAAGGCAGTCCATGTGCTTATATGACCGTGTGCTGATACTGAAGGCAGACCTTGTGCTTATATGATCTGTCCTGTGTGATAGTGCTAGTTCTTCAGTTTGTAAGTTAAGTTTGTTTCCCCATGTGCTTGTACCCCGTGTGACTCTACCAGGTGCTGTCTCTCCTAGAGCAAATAGAGCAGGCGCATGCAGCAGGCGGCACAGGCGGTGGTGGTGCAGCGGGTGAAGGCAGAGCAGCGCCGGAGAAGGCGGTCAGCTTGACCTCGGGGCAGAGGAAGCAGCTGGAGAGGATAAGGCGCGTGGCGGCAGTGCTGGAGACCTCGTTGCTGCGGCTTGACGATACAATTACTCTCTTCTCGGCGTTTTAGACATGGTTGAGAGAGCAGAGGTGGTAGGCAGAGGGAGCAGAGCGAACAGGGAAGCTTAGGAGCAGAGGAGCAGGGCCGCAGTGGGAGCAGAGGAAGGAAAGGCTTCTGCCACAGCCCAGGAATGTGAGTCAATTTAGTTGTGCTCTCAGCCTCCTGTGACAGATTTTGCGCGAAGCAAGCTTTGCAGTTCTCGAGGAATCGCTGCGTTAAAACGTTTGGTATGATAGAATAAATACCTCAAGGGATGTTGAGGGGGAGATGCAGCATGAAGGCTGCGGTTTTCATTGGTGGGTTCTATCAGAAATTGAAGAAGTGAATAATATTAGAGAGAGGTGTCAAACATGTGTATTTGTCATGTTTGTATAGACTGTATAGAGTCACCTCTTAGAGGATACAAAACTTAGATATATTTGTGTGTACTCTCACTTTACCATTATTCAATTATTCTGTGTCAACTTATACATATTATCTATGTAGAAGTTATAGGGTAGACTGAGGTATGCTTCTAGTGAGTACAACCAACTAGTATTTGTTCTAGGTTTCCAACTCTAGTAATCATTCGTTTCTACGTTAACATGGTATCACGCTTAGGTTAGGATCCCCCCGCCTACCGCTTCCGCCCGTCGCGCCCCCCCTGGGCCCCGTCGCGCTCGTTAGGCCCCGTCGCGCCCCCCCTGGGCCCCGTCGTGCCCGCTGGGCCCCGTCGCGCCTCCTAGGCCCCGTCGCGCTCCCCCTGGGCCCCGTCGCGCCCACTGGGTCCCGTCGCGACCCCTAGGCCCTAACGCGCCCCCGCTGGGCCCCGTTGCGCCTCCTAGGCCCCGTCGCGCCCCCCATGGGCCCCGTCGAGCCCGCTGAGCCCCGTCGTGCCTCCTAGGCATCGTCGCGCCTCCTAAGCCCCGTCGCGTCCCCCCTCTCTGGGCCCCGTCGCGCCCGTTCGGCCCCGTCGCGCCCCTCCTAGGCCCCGTCGCGCCCGCTGGGCCCCTTCGCGCTTCCTAGGCCCCGTCGCGCCTGCTAGGCCCCGTCGCGCCCCCCCTGGGCCCCGTCGCGCCCGTTAGGCCCCGTCGCGGCCCCCCTGGGCCCCGTCGTGCCCGCTGGTCCCCGTCGCGCCTCCGCGGCCCCGTCGCGCCCCCCCTGGGCCCCGTCGTGCCCGCTGGGCCCCGTCGCGCCCCTTAGGCCCCGTCGCGCCCGCTGGCCCCTGTCGCGCCTGCTGTTAGCGCTCGCCCGCCTGGCCTCCTCCTAGCGCCGCCCGGCCTCTCCTCAGCGCTGCCCGGCCCCTCCTCGTGCCCGACCGGCCCCAGCAGCACCAGCCTGGCCCCTCCCAGCACCAGCCCGGCCCTAGAGCACCTGCCCGCCTCCCCTGCTCGGCCTGCCGTGTCCTCTCGGGCCCTGTGTCTTCTGCTTGCCTAGCTGCTGCCCTACTGGAGAGTGCTGCCGCCGTGTCCCCGCGCCGCTGTGCTCCTGTGCCGCTGAGGAGCTGTGCTGCTGTGCCGCTGTGTCGCTGAGGAGCTGTGCCGCTGACCCTGCACGATGGCTGACTTTGTGCTCCGCCTGGACGCTGAGGGCCACGCGGTTGACTTCGCCGCCTGGCTCTCCGATCTTCGCCGCCAGCTTACAGGTCAGCGCCAGGATGGCCACTCTCTGGTTGTCCATGCTGATGGCTTGCTCCCCCGTCCCCCTGCACCTACTCCCCTCCCTGCTGACCCCTCCTCTGATGACCGTGAGGCTTTCCCTACTGCTGCGCTAGCCTGTGCGGTCTGGGACTCACGCGATGCAGTAGCTCAGGTTGCTATTAGTCACGCCCTCCCTGTGTCTGAGCGCTCGCGTTTTGCTACTGTTGAAACGGCCAAAACTTATTTAGACGCCGTTATTGCTCGCTATTCCACCCCTGCCTCCGCTTCTGCTGGCCGCTTGCTCTTTCCGATGCTGTTCCCAGACCTGGCTGCCTTCCCTACTGTCGCAGATTTTGCCACTCATTTGCGTGCCCTAGAGACTCGCTATCGCACTGCCAGCACTGCTGCCCAGCTCACTGCGCTCCCCCCTCCTTTCTGCATGACGCTCTATTTTATCGCTATGCGCCTGCCAGACCGCCTCGCTAGTGCTCGCGACCACTTTCTTAGCCAGCACCCGGGTGACCTCACCCTGACCGCCTTTGTCGACACCCTCACTGAGATCGAGACTCGCCAGCGCACTATCGCTCAGTCGAGCGGTGCGCCGGCAGTCTCTATCTTTCACGGTTGTGCCCCATCCCCGTGCACGTTCACTGACGTTTCGGCTGCGGTCGCCACGGCGACCCCTCTTACCGAGACGGCTGCTGCTGTCCACCCGCAGCAGCGCTCGCGTCGCGGTGGCCGTGGCCGCCAGGGAGGTAGGGGTGGTGACGCAGGTGGTAGTGGTCGTGGTGGTGGTGACGGTAGTCCGCCTGAGGGGACTACCACCGGTGGGCAGGAGCAGCAGTCCCAGCAGCAGCAGGACCAGCCCCAGCCGCAGCCGCCGTCCCAGCAGCACCCGCCGCAGCCGTGGGCTCGTCTCCCGCCTGGTTGGCCCGGCACCTCCGGAGGCGGTGGCCGTGGTGCGGCCCGCGCAGCTTGGCGTCTACCAGCGGCTCCAGTGCTGTGACCTGCCAGTACCAGCTTCAGACCGGGCCTCTCCGCGGCACTCTGTGCCGCCGCCCGCACCCGACCGCCCACTGTTTCCGCCGCCTCGACGATCTTTTTCGTCGTCGCTTTGGCCCGGCCCCGGACCTCCCTGACTGGCACAGCCTGCTCCGCCAGGGCGTGCCGATCTTTGAGTTAGACATGGATCAGATAGGTGCTGCTTTGCATGCTTTGTATGCTGACGCTTCTAGTGTTGATGGATCTTACTACCATGTGTACTCTAGTTTAGGTGTTTCACCCTTGTGTAGCTTAGCTTCCCCTGCTGCGACAGGCGTAGGACTGCCTAGGTTGCCTAGTCTAGTCGCTGCACCGGCTCCGTCCGCGGCCTCCGCCACTGCGTCGCTGTCCTTCACTCTCGACTCTGGTGCTTCTGCCTGCTTCTTCCGCGACCGTTCCACGCTCACGCCGCTTGCTGCACCTGCTGTTGTCTCTCTCGCTGACCCCTCTGCGGGTCCGGTCGTCGCGCGCAGTTCTACGTCCCTTCCCTGTCCGGCAGTTCCCTCGGGCTCCCTTACTGGCCTCCACGTTCCCTCGTTCTCCAGGAACCTGGTTGGTGTCGGCTGTCTCCAGGACCTCGGCGTCACCACCACGTTCCCCGGGCACGAGCGGTTCGCTGTCTGTTCTGAGGCTGTCTCAGGTTCCCCCCTTGCGACGTTCCCCCGGGACCCGGTGTCCGGTCTGTTTACCCTACACACCGCTTCCCCCCCGGTTGGTGCGTCCTCCCAGGTCGCTGCAGCTTGCTCGTGTCGGTCCCTCACTCACCCGTCCCTTCTCTGGCACCACCGCTTAGGTCACCCTGCTCTCCCGCGTCTGCGTCACATGTCCCAGCACGGTCTTGTCTTAGGTCTCCCCGCGTCGCTCCCTGCCCTTCCTCCCTCGACTGCGCCACCGTGCACGCCTTGCGTCGAGGGTCGGCTCCGCCGTGCTCCTCACTCCTCCTCGCTGCGTCCTGCTACTGCCCCCCTTCAGACCCTGCACTTGGACGTTTGGGGCCCTGCCCCCGTCCCCGGACCGCGCGGTGAGCGCTACTTCCTTGTGCTCGTTGACGACTACACGCGCTACACCACGGTGTTTCCCCTGGAGCGGAAGGCCGACGTGCCCGACGTTCTTCTCTCGTGGGTTGTAGCTGCGCGTCTCCACCGCGGTCTCCCCGTGTTGTGTCTCCACTCCGACCGTGGCGGCGAGTTCGCCTCTGGTCGGCTTGGACAGTTCTGTCGTGCGGAGGGCATCACCCAGTCGTACACGTTGCCGGACTCGCCACAGCAGAATGGGGTTGCTGAGCGCCGCATCGGCTTGGTCATGGAGGTCGCCCGTACCTCCATGATCCATGCCGATGCCCCCCATTTTCTGTGGCCGTTCGCTGTTCGCTACGCGGCTCACCAGCTTAACCTGTGGCCACGCTCCCAGCGGCCGCAGGTTTCGCCGACCCTCCTTTGGACCGGGTCCCCCGGTGACGCGTCTGCGTTCCACGTCTGGGGCTGCCTTGCTCACGTTCGTGCCTCTGGCACGGACAAGCTCACTGCCCGCACTGTCCCCTGTGTCTTCCTCGGTTTCCCCCTGGACTCGTCTGACTGGCTTTTCTACCACCCGCCGTCTCACCGCTTCCTCCACTCTCGTGACGTCACCTTTGACGAGTCCGTCTCCTTCTACCGCCGCTTCCCTCACCGAGGTCTCCCAGTTGCCCCCCCCCTTTTCCTTGCTCCCTCTCCCCCGGTAGCCCCTGCCCCTCTCCCGCCTCGTCCTGCCCCGTCTGGTGTCTCCCACGTCACTCCCCTCCCGTCGGTTGTCCCCGTTGAGGAGTCTGCTGACTCTGGTGGTACCCCCGGTCCGTCCTTGCCGCGTCCCCCTTCCCCAGTGCCTCCGCCCCCACTGTCGCAGTCGCCGACCCCGCTGCCGCCGCCGTCGCCGTCGCCGCCGCAGCCGTCGCCGCTGTCGCCGCCACTGCCGCCGCTGCTCTCGGCCCCTGGGGGTGCTGGTGTGGAGGAGGGTGTTCGTCCTGCGGCTTCTGGGGGTGCCGCTGGTGTTGGAGGGGGTTCTCGCTCTTGGGGTGTTGGTTCTGGGGGTGCTGCTGTTGAGTGTTCTGCCGACGGTCGTTCTGCCTCTGCTGGTCCGAGAGTTCCGGCCCAGCCGTCGTCGCCGCCACAGCAGCCGTCGCCGCCGGTTTCCGCTCTCCGCCTGCTCGGCCTTCCCTCCCCGGACCGCGCGCCGGTGTCTCCCCCACCGCCTCCTGACCTCCCTGTCTACGGTCCTGTGTTCCCGCCGCCAGACTCGTCTCCGGCCCGTCTTCCTCCTCGTTCCCCTCCTGTGTCTCCTCCGCTGTCCCCTGACCCTACCCCTCCGTCTCACGTTTGGGCTCGCCGTCCCTCCCGTGCCCGTCCCGTCTCTCCTGTCCTGCCCACCCACCCTATGTTGCTCCGTTCCCACTCGTCTCGTCCTCCCCTCCTCCCGTCCCCTCCTCCCTCGTCCCTTGTTGTTGCACCTCCTCCGTTCTCTGACTACCTCCGTGCTGCTCGTCCCCTTGTCCCTCGGGTCCTTGCCTCTCTTGTTACCGACCCTGCTGTTCCTGTCTCGCGCCTTGACGCGCTTGTCGCTGCTGTCGCTGACTTCGCTTCTACCCGCCGCCTTGACTACGCTACCGCTCTGGTCTCTGACCCTGCCCGTCCTCTGTCCGTCGGGGGTGCTCCTGCCCTTGGCAGTGACGTCCTAGAGGACAGGCAGTACGAGCTGGCTTTCCTTTCCGAGGCTGCTCCCCATCTCTGCTCCATGCTGTTAGTCCCTGAGGGTGACCCAGA